CTTTTTCTCTTTCTTATTTTCAAATCTTCTTTCTTTTTCCGTCGTCTCATTATCTTCTTCTCTCAGTAGAAGTTTCCTTTTAAAAAAATATTGCTTTAATAAATGCTTGTTAAGTTGACTTTAAAGTGAAAACGTGTCAAACATTGTAGAAGACTCCATGAAACGCATTTAACACATAAAAAAATTAAAGTAATTATATTTATTTATTTTTCAAATTTTGGTTCCAAAATGTATTAAAGTTTTAGAGAAAGACAAATTTCAATATCGTATCAAAGTCCAAATACTACAAATATATTTAATTTATACATTTGTATGTATAATATATTGTCTAATTATTATTATTTCTTATCTTATTTTTTTTCCTTTTACTTAGTTATGATTTATTTTTCATTGTTCAACTACATCTAGATGAAATATGAAACATGTTTTATATATGTACATCTATATGAAATATGAAACATGTATTTTTATATGTATTTAATCATAAGAATAAAAACACAATGTTCTTTAACTCTTGTTTCTATAATTGTTTCGATAGATATTTTGTGGGACTGAGATACGTACCTTGCTGATGTATCTTTGTTGCTTCTAGATGTCTGGGATGCTCGCTTCTCCTCAATTGTTGTCGTTCGCTCATCTTTCTAGAAGTCGTTCAAGTCAGGCATGAGTTATGAAGCCTCAGCTAAGAAAGTGATTTTATTATCACTATAGAATATTATCTAGTGTCTGTATAACTAAGTGGAACCTAGTGGCCTTTGGCCCTGTCATATTTATAAGTGTTTCATAAGTCAAATAACCTTACGTGTAAATTTGGTTAGTCACTCATAAATATCTTAACCGCTTAAAATATCTTTAATCAGATATTTTATCCAATAAATATCTTTAATCATACTATACAATAATAATATAACTATTTAAAAAGTAAGGATGTCATATTAGTCTCTTTTATATTCTAGATATTTAATTTAATTTTAGAAAAATAAATGAATTTAAAAAATTAGTAATTTATAAAGATAAAATGTAATTAAATGCTTTAAATTGAAAAATAATTAAATTTATTTGTTTGTGTTTAAAATAACTACTAAATAGATATAGACGAGTGAAAACATGTGTTCATCTTTTTATAATAAAATTATTAATTTATTATTATTATTATAAAAATAAATATAAATAATTTGATAACCTTATTGGAAATAGAATTATTTATTTTAGTAGGTAAATGAATACTTAAAAATTAATTAAGTTTAAAAAATGATCAAATTAAAAAGAAATCGGTTAAATTTAAAGAAATTGTCACTAAAACAAAAAAAAAATAGTTATTATAATTCAAAAGGCTTTTATTTAAAAGATAAATTTGAAAAAGAAATAGTAACACCAACAACAAAAGAATATCATGTAGGTGTAAATATATAGATTAAAGAAAACACATGCACGCGTTTCCTGAAAAAAAAAATGTAATGTATTATAAAAAACACGAGTACTCATGTATTTAAAAATATATTTTAATTATTTAGAAAAGAAAGTTATTAAGTAATACAACAACGTACACACTAAGATTCATGCCTTTGAAAAGAAAGCGCAAAATATTTTTCATTTCTTTTATATTTTATATTTTTTGTTATTTAGGGAAAAAAATAAGTGCTGGAAAATTGGGTGTTAAAAAGCAAGTTGAGTGAAAGTTTAAGAACAAGTATTTAAAAATAAAATAAAGATCCAAAATAGAAAATTAAAGTCAAATAAAATCAATATATGTGCAAGGTGTACAGTGAAATGCAGGTATAAGAAGTAAAAATAAGTAATAAGACTAAAGGAAACAAATAAATATATGATTATTATTTTTTTTTTTTAAGAAAAATTTATTTTTATACTTTTTATTTAATATTATTTTTGAAAACAATGTTTGATTCATCATTTAGAAATTTAAGGAGAAAGATACAAACCTATATGTTTTTTTTGTTAGCATGTGTTTAAAACAGTTTCTAAGTCCTAAATTTTGTAAAATCATAATAATTAAGACCTATAAAAAACAGGGTCATGCTAACGTGTTGTACAATAAATATACTAATAGGAATGTTTTTATTAATTGAAATTCATATTTAAATTAAGATGATTTATTAGTTTTTGACGTGGTGTTATGTAATTGGTCAATGTAATTAAAAAATAAATTAGAGATTTTGTTAAGTTGAGATTATAGACCTGTGAACTGAATAGGGTTTAAAAAAATAGGAATTTCAAAAGATGGATTTTATTTAGTTGAGATTAGGGATTTTGAATTCGAACATGAGACGAACAATATGACGAACACGAGAGAATATGAAAATTTCAAAGGCTGCCCAACAACATTAAACAACATTGCACGGAGAATCATCACTAAACCATAAATCACTTACACGAGAGAACCCTAAACCACACCAGCCTTCAAAATCGTGAAATCTGCCATCGTTAGCGACGTTCAAGCTCCTTGTCGCACCCTCGCCATCTTCATCTTCGTCCAACCCTACGCCACCATAAAAACCATCGCGAAGCCTTATCGCATGTTCCTCTTACCCCTCCAGCACATTAAACTCATCATCATGCCATTAACCGTGACAAAACCCCAAATGTCAATCTCACGATCTCCATGCACTAACAACGCGAAATCCCATCACACCACAAGCTGCTCTCTTGTCTTCCACCATTTTCACGACCTAATCGAACCTGTAACAAAACCCAGGAACCATAAACTACAATCTCCATCATGTTTAAAAATCCTAACTCGTATAATATATCCTAGAAACTCAAGTCAATCCAGAAAACTCTATCCCAATTAACATTGTTTTGAACAAAAAGATCAAACTTTAAAATTTTTATCATCCAAAAGATTTAAATCAATAAAAATAAGAAGAAACAGATGTGTTTTTCTACGATTTAAAATATTTAATTCATTTGTGTTCCAATACAGATTTGGAACGACGGATATTAAATTTCATTTGTGTTCGAATACGGATTTCCAAGATATCATCAAAATCTTATCTTTCAAAAACTGCAAAGATGTACAAAAATAAATAATTATTTTACCATCATATCATCATATCTCTGTTACTGATGAAACTAAGTGATAGTTAAACTAGTTATTGGTAGAAAGAAATTCGTGATTGGTAATGGAAGAAAAACCGAAAGAAATTCGTGATTGGTAACGGAGGAAAAACCAATTCCGTAAATATAATAATAATAATAATAATATCAATAATAATATTATTATTGTAATTACAATTGTAGAATAGTAACTTTATATTTTAATTTATTAATCACCACAAAATTTTATAAATTTTATTCTTAATTTCATTTATTTTATTTTTAAATTCCTTAAAAAAATAACTAAAATTCAGCGATTTAAATTAATCCAATTTCATTTAGTTACTGCCTTAAATATATTCTCTCAAATTAATACATTGGTTCTGGTTTTGCTGTCTTATTTTTAATTGTTCTTGTATATGTTGATATTGATTTGTTAAAATGGAAGTCCCTTACTTTGAATTTAATACATGTTTTGGCAGATTGTCACGAAGAAAGGTGACGTGCAGTTGACAGACTTGGGTATAAATGCAATGTAAATTTGGTGTTGCAACTATTTTTCACGGGTAAGACATGGTACATTTATGCATTGCATTTGGCAAACTAAGTCTAATATTAAATAGTTTCTTTCTTAGGTGGAATCTTAAGAAAGAATTAATTATATAATAGAGACATAAAAGGAAAAATAAACAATTAAGTCTATTGGAATTTTAAAATATCTTGAACAAATTTACTAAAAAAGAATGACTAAGATCATAGACTAGAGAATATTAAATTCATTATATTGTATTTTTCTTCTATAAATTGGTATATATTTTCCTTGAAACATATAACCAGATTTTAAAAATCTATAGAAAACTCTAAGGTGGTTTTAGAGATAAAGAGAAAAGGATGAAGATAATTGTAGTTATGATGATGGTTATCTTGGGTTGCACACAGGCCATTCGCATTACACCGGAACAAAAATCATGTGCTGGAAAATATGTTCCTGTCTACGATAATTGTTTTAATACTTGTATTGCGGCCAAATTTCCTTCTACTAATACAGGTATTCAATTTCTTATCACATTAATTTCTTTTATTTATTATAAATATTTAATTTAGGTTTAATAACTTCTTTTTTATAAGGAGTTTATTTAATGTAATTTTTTAATTATTAATTTAGATTTCATTTTATTTTATTCAATCTGCTATTTTCTTATGTTGGGTTGTACAGGAGCTAAGGAGGTTACTATTGACAAAAATTGTAGTGTATTTTGTTTCTTTAAATGTATAACAAAAGGTGACGACTGTTATAATCGATGCATGACTGAATGTGATCATTCTCATCTCAATGTTGACAATGAATGCGTTAATAGTTGCAGTGTGACCAAATCTAATACAGGTATTCACTTTCTTACAATATTATTCTTTATTTTAATCTTTTATATGTATTATTTAAGATTACATTTTTTTTTATATTTTTGCATCTTTTTAATAATTTACTTTTGTGTATCAGGTGCTGATGGTATTGTTCTAACAGCTGCGGTGAACTGTTGATTACAAAAATGTCATGTCAAGATATATCTTTAAATAACATATGAAAATAAAGTTGTTAGAAATAATATTACATAACTGTAACACACAAATAAATATGAATTGTGTGTATTTTTTCTTCTTTATTTCTCTTGCATCTCAAACAGAATGAGTATTAAGAAAAATTACTAGGACAAATACGTAGTTAAGATGATAATGAAAAGAGTAATAAACTGTATTAGAAGTTACGATATTAAGAATATTATCAGAAAAAAAAGGATCTAAATACTCTAAAGTGATAAGTAAATTGAGACAAAAGTAATTTAAAAAATATAAGTCAAATAAGATAAATAAGTATTTTAGCTTGATTTGTTAGGAAGAAAACCGAGTCTTCTAATTTTCATGTAATGACTTCAAGCGACTGAGTAAATCGTTGGATTTCTTGACTGCACAAACTTACTATATTGTTTAGGAAAAAGAGAAATTTGGAAAGTTCATGACTCCATGTGCTGGTTCCGAGGAGGAAACATCCTTCTTTCTCTGCAATCTGCAGAAGTTGTTGATTGTCTTATCAGTCATTCTGGCAGACATACTTGTTTAGAATCAGTTTCATTAATCATTTTCAAGAAAAATTTAATGTTTTTAACCAAACAGCTTTGTATCTATTTGGAATAAGTAAAAAGATTTAAAATTAAATTGAGTTTTGTTGGGTAAATTTTGTTGAACCTACCTCCCAAACCCCTGAGCTGAAGCTCACGCCACTCTTGAACCAGTGCACAACAGCAACACATTAGATGTGTCAAGTAGTCATCGCACAGACCTCCCTACGAAAAAACGAAAACGGTTAATAACGAAATGAAAAGTAAGTGGAGAGGGTGAAATGGAAACCAACCTCAATGTTAAATTTGCTACGCAATTTCCCTCGTATGCAACAAGAATAACAGCAGCAAACACAGAATATGGAGTAAGCCATAAGATTAGTCGTTGCACGTTTTCGAGCTGTAACAATTTCAAGTTAGAGAGTTTGGACTGTTGTGTACCAGTTAGAGTTGATTTCAGAACTTCATGATGCATTTTATCGTCAACTGTTTAGGTAAATCATATTCATTAAAATCGCATTACTCACAATTTACTTACAAGTTTCTCCCCTGGTAACCACATTAACTATCCAAGAAAATGTTCCACATGGGAAGAAGCAGGTCTTCAAGCCTGTAATGAACAATACTATTATTTTTTTAAAGGAAATCGTAAACAAGAAACACCCTTGCATCTTACACAAATAAAGTATGAAAAAAAAAAAAAAACTAGTACCACCCTTAGCTTGTGAAGAGTACTTGATCTACGTCAGTATTTACACTAATAAATAAGTCGCGAGACAACACCAAAAATTACGCAAAACTCTTTTTAAGAATGTGGGGGAAATCACGGGAAAATATCTAAAAGTAATGTACTTCAATAAGGATGATTCAATCCTCATCTTACTCTGTTTTACGAAAGACATAATAATATAATGTTTCCCAAAGCGAATCTATATCCTCTTGCTATTTAGTTTAAAGAGAACTAAGGAGTACCCCAATCCCAAGTGTCTTGTAAAAAATTCCTCATAAACTTAAAGAAAAATTCAAGCTCTTCGACGCTCTAACACTTGTTGCTTCTCGCTCCATACATTTTTGGACGAACCAAGCACCTTTATTTATCGAGGTCTTGCATGTGTTGCATTATATGCAGCTATAATTTGCATGAAAAGGTTTTACTAGACAAGAAAAATAAAAGGGTAATAATGATTGTTGAATTGCAATTTGCAAGCCACCACTGAACAAGTTTACCATTTAACTTTTTTGAAAAATGTATGTAGAATGTATAGGAGGGGTTCAGATATTTACATAAGCAAGGCTCACTGCAGCAAGCAAAGAGATCAGTCTCCCATTCTGATTGACTTTTATCTCCAGAATCCAACTCGAGGTCCTCAAATGCTATTGCACTGTTAGTTATATGCCTAGACCAAGATATATGTATAAATAATTAACAATTTAGTAATGAGATGGTTACCTGATAAAATCATTCAATGGTATCATAAAACTACCTTGATATCAAATCAGTTGGTTCATTGAAAATGACTTTTGCAACGTTTTCGTTAGGTGACACGCTGACAACATTTTCTGTGACTTCAATAAGATGTTCAATTACCCTGCATTGCTCTGGGTCATTATTGGTTCTTGATCTATGTAGTTCAATATGCAGTTTTTCTTTCTCCTCTTTGAGGGCCTCGTGGAAGCCCAGATCAGGGTACCTACGAGATAAGGACTTCTCCAATATACCTGCATCCTTCTTAGATCGATTAGTCTTTAGTATCACATTTTGGGTCTCCATTTCTTCTTCATCCAGAGTGTATTCCGTTTGATCCTCTTCGCTGAGGTGCTGCATTTCAAATACCGAATCATATCAATGGAATGGGAAAGATAGATGAGAAAAATCTATTGATTGAAATTGAAACAAATAATTAAACATGATTAATTACTCATTCATGAATTTGGAAGTTTAACACTTAATAAATATCTTATAGTTTCTAAGGGTCGTGCTATACATGTAACTCAAGAAAATCTTTGAAAACCAAGAAATCAGATAAAGTTTCATACGAAAGAGTGAGTGTTTGCTTTCTTTTCTTTTTTTCTTAATCATTTTACTTACCGTGACTAAAAACTTTGCACATAATATATAACGCGATTAGCATATTAAATTGTAACAAATATGAAATTTCCGTCACTAACTGCCCTTTGAGTTCTGAAAGCCATCACTCTTAAACTACATACGTATGTTAAATGTGTATTAAACTTTACCGCTTAGCTTAAAGATTGATAATTATTGCGCTGAAAAAGTATTATGAACAACACAATGTGTGTGGAGTTCGGCAGGTTATGTTTCGAATTTTTTTGGAAGCATCTTAACTCGCAAGAGTCAAAAGAGAGTTGTTTCATCGAACTTGCTTCTCTTTTTTTTAAATTAAAATGCTTTTAACAAAGGAAAATTTCCTCTAAAAACAGGAAAGATTTACTATTAAAAGAATGGTCCTTATACACATTATCCTATTATCTCCACCCATGTCTCAAAGGCACTTGCTAGTTGATAACGCTCACTAATACATTACATATATTTAAAATTAAGGACAAGGTATTTTTTTAACAGCAAAGTTCAGTATGTTTTTTTAAATTATTAAATTATCATAAAACAATATTTGTATAGATTTAAGAATTAAATAACTGATATACCCAATAATAGCTCGAAGTTGCCACCGTTGTCAGGAGGAGATCCATGTTATTCCAGAGGTAGCCCAGAGCACAGAGTACAGGGCAATTTACATTACAACTCCTTACTCGAGATTCTGGAGTCTTCGTTTTCGTCCACTCTTTTCAAAAGTAAACAGTGATGTCTGACATTCTACAACTTTTGAAATTTTGACCAAATTTAATCGGGGGTTAATAATAATAAAATAGTTTATATAACTAGGAGTGAGAAAGGAAAATAATAAATGATAATAAATAATGATATGGGAAAACAAAACAACGGATGTTAATGTACGTTTACTCATTTTATCAATAAAAAGTAGAAACACTGGTATTGATATTATACTTTATCTGCACCGACAATCTTTTCACCAAATGTGAGGATAACACAGTAATATTGTTCAAGCNCAATAAAAAGTAGAAACACTGGTATTGATATTATACTTTATCTGCACCGACAATCTTTTCACCAAATGTGAGGATAACACAGTAATATTGTTCAAGCTGATTTTTTAAAGTGTTGAAGCTAAGTTTGAAATAAAAATGAATGAATTAAAAAAGAGAATCGAGAAATGATTTTTTCTAATAAATTTTATTGAAGATTTAAACTGAATTAATAAGCATGTTAAGCGCGAATAATATTATCTTAAAAAATAAATTAGGCGATGAAAATGTAAATCAAATGCCAAGGATAATTTATTCAGTTAACAAGTAGGTCTAATGAACTTTTCCTAACGAAGGAAGTGTAAGTGGAAGCAAGGATTAATAATGTGACGTGATTAATTATAGTAAAGGTAAAAAATATAGAAATAATAATAGAAAAACTGTTAACCAGTGAAGAACCTGCATACGAAAATCGTGAACAGCGGAGATGAGGGGCACGAGTTGAAGGTGACGATCGATCTGCGTCTGAACGTGGCGGAACTGATTCACTACGCTCCAACCCATGGCAAGCATGTAAAGGTAACTCTTGTCTTTGCAACTTTCCACCAATTCCAACGCTTCCCGCAGAGCCTCTTGGAGACCGTCCAACGGTTCCTTTGTCGCCGGCAGCCGTGCCACCTCAGTCGACTCCAGCGTCGCCAGCAGGTTCCCTATCATCCTCACCTGCTCCACCAAGCGCTCGCAGTTCCGGCGGTGCGCACTGGCATTATGCGCCGCCGATATAACCGCGCTCGCCACCCTCGTTGCGCTCAACCCTAGAACCTGCGCTAGGTCCTCCATCTTGAATTCTGTGTTTGCTGTTCTTGTTTCTGTTTGTACACAGTGGAGAATAGAGGGAAACAATGTGTTGGATCTAAACTTTTATTTTCTTGGATTCTGCTTTAGCCTATGGGATTCTGAAGTGTGTGAAAGCGACCCGTTCGTTCAAGCTTGGACTGTTACACGAAAATGGAGCGTACTAGTCCCTTGGAGGGGATCGTTTTAGAAGAGTCCCACACAAAGTTACCTAAACTATCGTATTAATAATATTATATTTTAATATCTTTGCATAATATTCAAATAATAATATTTATTTATTTATTTATTTATTAAATTAACACCTGATATGTCGAAAGAAGAACAAGTTGTGAAACAAAGACTTGAGAATGGATGACAACTGAAGAGGCTACTTCTTTCTGCAGTAAAGGACCAAAAGTGTTAGGTTGGAACGAATTCAAATATGGAAGATTTGAAAAACAAGGATTTGCGTGAGAGAGATTTCATAAATTAGATATTAGGATTAATTCATCATCATAGATTTAAAGAGGAAAATATGAATTAAAGTTTATAAGTGAGTAAATTTTATTATTTTAACCACAAAGAATAATATAATAATATCATTTTTTTATTATGATATATTATCATAAAACAACAAGTTATTTAGCGGGACTTTGGTATAATTTTTTTCAAATTTTTATATTTTAAAATAAAATGTTTTTCTTGTTTGAATTTTTATTAAGATATAAGAAATTTTATGATAAAGTGCAGGTGTTAATATGAATGTTATATATTTTGGTACGCTTAATTTTTTTAACCGTGAAAGATTTTCGATGAAAATTATTTTAGTACAAATTTTTTTTATCATATCTTTGAAATTGAAAGAATAAGCAAGATGTATTTAGAAATTTATATAGAACTCGATTATTTTAGTACAGAACTTCTTTTTAACTAAATATATGTTAGGTTGTTAAATTGACATGCACTCAACTCATTTTTATTTGTTTAATATAATCTCAAGACACTTAATTATCATGTTCCATTATTATTTACGATAGTTCAAAAACTAACAAATATTGGATCAATGAACTCATGTTTATTTTTAAACAATAAATATAAATAACATGTTATACATGATATGTTAATTAAGTTATATTAATTATTACATTTATTGTTTGTTGACTGCTATGCTACCCTAAGTTGAGTGTAAGTGTATCTTATATACTCTACTTCTTTTAGAAAGAATGAACACTAACAAGAAAAATAAATATTTTTGAAATTATAGGCTAAAAATATTTGAAAAATCTTTAAAAACTGTACTATATCAAATATACCAATTGAAGTTAATGGTGCAATTATCAGGTATTAATAGGTCAGATTACCTTACCCTTCTTTACAAATATACAGTATTAATTATTGATTATTGGGTTTGATTCCCTAAAAATATACTGATAACTAATCAATGGACTCGACTGCCACAAACTCTATAATAGGTACGTCTTAATCTATTATAATAAAATAGAGCGTTCTCGGAGTGTCTTCTGCAGGTCAAAAGAGAGCAAGGAAGGACGACCGACCCTCGGACCAATTCAACCGAAACATTTTGGCACCCACCGTAGGGCCGAGTGACATCCCCATGAAGCCACGAAGAACCAGATGTGCGCTCGGTCTCGACATCGCTACTTCGGATCAACACCAGGTTTTGCAACAATAGTAAAAAATTCTGTAATAATTCCTAAAGGCATGTCTTTTGTTTTGAGAACTTTCAGGAAGTTTGAGCCCTACTTTCAACCTTGAGTCCTGCGTTCAACCAGGTTCCACTTTTCATTATAATATATTTGTTCAACTCATATTTTTGTGAGTAAGATGGTTGAGAGCTGCTTTCAACATTGTCAGGTTTTACTGACTCTTAAATTTAAATTATAAATTATAAAATATTATGCACAGGATGATACAGAAATGCGTTCAACCTTGTCAGGTTCTACCGACTCTTAATTTTAAATTATAAATTATAAAATATTATGCACAAAATGGTGTAGAAATGCGTTCAAGGTTCTACCAACTCTAAATTTTAAATTATAAATTATAAATATTATGCATAGGATGATGCAGAAACTCTTAATTTTAAACTATACAGGTTCTACCTACTCTTAATTTTAAAAAATATTATGCACAATGCAGAAATGCGTTCAACCTTGTCACGTTCTACCGACTCTTAATTTTATTTTAAATTATAAAATATTATGCACAGATGGTTCAAAAATGCGTTCAACCTTGGTTCTACCCACTCTTAGTTTTAAAATTATAAAAGGTTCAGACTTCAACTTGGTCAGATTCTACCAACTCTTAATTTTAAATTATAAAATATTATGAAATAGGTTTAATAGCCAATTTAGTCCTCACTTTGGTTGAAAAATCTCAATTTAGTCCCTCGTTAAGCTTTGAATTAGTCCTAACTTTTAAAATAGTGGGTCAGATTAGTCCTTTCTGTTAAATATAAGTTAACAAAATTAATGGATGATGATGTGACACAACTTAAAGCTAACGAGGGACCAATCTAACACATCAGCTTTAAGATGTGTCACATCATCATCCATTAATATCGATAACTTATATTTAACGAAAGGGACCAATCTGAACCACTATTTTAAAAGTTAGGACTAATGTAAAACACTTTTATAACGAGGGACTAAATTGAGATTTTTCAACCAAAGTGGGGACTAAATTGGCTATTAAACCTATGAAATATTATGTGCAGGAAGGTTCAGACCTCCACTGGTGCACGAAGGACGACCGATCTTGGACCAATTCAACCAAAACAAAAACTAACACACACTCAATCTTATAAGAACACTTAAATAGTTTTTCTTTTTATTTTGTGGTAATTCTTTTCATCATAAATAATTGTCTTACAATTTTATTTTATTTTTTACAATAAGAAGGAAGGTTGCGGATGGTAGAAAAAGGTGTCTAACTAGAGGAGACGTGACAAAAAGATGAGTTTGTAACGGAGGATAAAAATATTTGGTCAATTAATCTAATAAAAACAATATGTTTTATATGCACACTCTAATTAGAGTAAAAAACAAAAATAAGAGGAAAAATAAGTAGATTATAAGTATCTCAAAATAAATAAACTATGATTCGTGAACATGTTTTTTTTCATACTTCAATCATGATTAAAATATACTGTGACGGTTTAAAGCGCGTTATACTATACACTTTTATTTTATTTAACAGGTTTTAATTTTGTGACAAGGAAACCAAAAAGGTGTAAAAAAATATACAAAATACTTAATTTTTATCTTTGTTATTATTATTTGAAACATGTTTTGTCCGACCCATTGAATGGGAGATATATGTCTCATGAATATTTTGTTTAGATAAATAATAATAATAATGATAATAATAATAATAATAAAATAAACAAATGTAAAATAAGATAATTCAAAATAAATAGTACGTGTTCATTATTATTTATTTTTAGGTAATGGAATTTAAAATACTATTTTATTAGACATAACGCGAACACCGCATGATATATTATTAACAATCCATATTTTGAAAAAGAATTTGAATAACTCCAATTTGACGTTTGACGAATTAGTCCTAAATGTAAAAGATAAAAAATATTTTATTTTTAATTTGGGTAAAGTTTATTAAATCAAATAGCTTCATTTCTCCCAAAATTTCCGCCTTTTGTTATGACCAGCTACACATTCTTTTTCCCAATCTTTTGTATTACTAAAGAGAATTTATTACGCAGAGTAGTAATATTGAATATACTTTAGAAGAGCATCAAGCCCGTCTAGCTCAGTTGGTAGAGCGCAAGGCTCTTAACCTTGTGGTCGTGGGTTCGAGCCCCACGGTGGGCGATTTTTTTGTGTTTTTTCTCCTAAATGATTTTTACTTCGTTCTCTTGTGTAGTGTTTTGCTGTGTTGCACGTGCACAAATTTTGTCATTTTCCTCCATAAAATAATTTAAAATTTTATAACATCTTCGTTTAAAATATCATTAGTGTTAATTTGATTGACAAAGATGAGGCAGTGTTTTAGACAAAATTGTTTAAATGAGTGATAATAGACATTTCTACCATCTTTTTACCCTAAAATCTAAAGTTGGTCTAATTTAAAGTCTATAATCCTTAATTTTTGTATAATTGAAGCCAATTTTTGAATGTGAAACTATTGCTAGTTTTAGCCTATTTTAAAAAATGATCAATAATAAGTATTTGTATTTTGCACTTGTATCACATCTACTGTGGTAGGCACTGTAGTCCTGCATTATTAGTTTTTCAGGTGTAGTTATGAATTACTCTTTCACAACGTTGATTGTGTGGCTCAAATGCTTACTTGCAATGATTCCACTAAGTTGTCTCATGACATGCATGGTGATGAAGCAAGGAAAAGGTAAGAAAAGATGACAAGGAAAAGTACAAAACTGAGAAAGATCACAGATTATACCTTATTTTTGTAGAAGGCAAAATGCAACTCAGTATAAAAACACAAACAAACATCACTCTTAAAGTTAACTAATTTTTGATAAACAGTGGTAGTCCCTCATTTTTCACTAACTATTACTAACAAAAGGAAACTAAACAGGATCAATACAATAAAAAAGTTCATAATTGAAGTTTAGTTTCTTGTTTCGGACATGGCAACAGTTTGCAATGGAATGATAAAAAAAAAGTACTGAATGAATGAACGCGGAGTTTAGTGTTGTGTAGGATGGTGATAAGAAAAATAGCAGGAAGAAATTTCCTGAGACAGTAGTACCCAACGCTATCATATATATATATATATATATATATTGCCATTTTTGTGGATTGAAAATGAAGCAAAGGCAATTCACAGGTATCCAAAGTTCTTCAAGGTTTTAATTTTTAACCTGAATCATCTTCGTTTCACGTATGATTTCTACTTCCTAGCCATGAATACTGCGAGCGAGAGGTTTGTCACGTTCCTCTGTTTCTTTCTGCTTCTCTTCATGACAACGTTGTCAAACTCCCAACCAGACCGTTTTATGAGACCCCTTCGTGGGAGTACCCTAGAATACTTCGAGGTGGGTTACCCTCCGCCGTCACACGAACCCCCTCCGTCCTGTAGCCACCGTGTCCTCCACCACTCCTTCGCAAACACCATCGACTCTCCTCCGTACACCACCTCCTACAGCCCTCCCCCGCGGTGCCCCGGCCCGTGGTCCCGCGTCGTGCTCCATTTCCACGCCCGCTGCAAGGGCGAGCAGTACGACCGC